GTCCCTGACAGCTGACTTTCCCAATGCAATTCATCTCTTGATTTCTTAGCTGCTGGTACCAAGAGTGTTTACTGTGGAGCCAAGCAAACTAAAACTATTCACTATCTCAATCTCTTCACCATCCATAATGATGCTGCCAATTGGCCCAGTGGTGAGAATCTTTGTTTTCTTGATGTTGAGCTTAAATCCGTATTGAAGGCTTGCAGTCCTTGACCTTCTTCTGCAAGCGCTTCAGGTCCTCCTCAGTTTCAGCAAGCAGAGTTGTGTCATCTGCATAACGCAGGTTGTTGATGATTCTTCCACCAATCCTGATGCCACATTCCGCCTCGTACAGCCCACCGACTCAGATGATCTGTTCTGCATAGAGATTGAAAAGGTATGGAGACAGAATACATCCCTGGTAGATCCCCTTCTTGATTTTGAACCATGTAGTGTCTCCTTGCTCTGTTCTGATAACTGCCTCTTGGTCCAAGTATAGGCTTCGCATAAACACAACCACATGTTCTGGAATTCCCATTCTTCCAGAGTCAGCCTTAGATTGTTGTGATCCACACGTTTTTGGATAATTTTCAGCAGAATCTTGCTTGCATGTGCTATTAATGGTAATTTCCGCACTCTGTTGGTTACCTTTCTTTATAATGGGAACAAATATCAATCTTTTCAAGTCAGTTGTCCAGCTGGCTGTTCTCCAGATTTCATGGCACAACTAGGGAACACATCCAGGGCAGCGTCTGTTTGTTGAAAGATGTCAATTGGTTGTCAATTGGTAATGCTGTCAACTCCTGGAGCCTTGTTTTTGCCAATTCCTTCAGAGCAACTCGAACTTCCTCCTTCATTATCACAGGCTCTTCCTCATATGTTATTTCATTAAATTCTTCTGTGTCAGCCAATTCCTTCTAATGCAGTGACTTTGTGTACTCTTTCCATCTTCTTTTAATGCTTTCTGTATCATGTAACATTCTACCCAAAGTATCCTTAAATATTGCCACCCATAGCTTGAATGTGTATCTTGCTTTGTAGTCCCAAGGTGGTGCCTTTTGAAATTTTCTGTTCAGCTCTTTGATTTCTTCCTTTGCCTTTGGCTTCTTGGCACTCTAATGCAATACCGAGTCTCATCTGACATCCATCTTGGTATTTTCTTCTTTTTCAGACTTTGTAATGATCTTTTGCATTTTATCTGTCTGTCTGTCTGTCTGTCTGTCTATCTATCTATTTATCTATCTATCTATTTTTAAATTTAGTTTGTTTATTTTTCATTTCAATGAACATCTACAGAGATTTTGGAATTCCATTCATTCATTGTTGCACCCTTCTCCCCGCACTGCTCCTCTCCTTGAAAAGCAAAAGAAAAACTCCCTCATTGGTACACAATCCCCCCGCGATCTTTTGCATTCTTCATGGACAATTTTCTTGATATCCTCCCAGAGCTCATTTGGTCTACACTCATAGGTGCTCAAGACCTCAAACCTGTTCCTGAGATCATTTTGAAATTCGAGAGGGGTAGACTTAAGGTCAAATTTTGGTTCCCATGGATTTGATTTCATTTTCCTCAACTTCAGCTTGAATTTGCATATGAGTAGTTGGTGGTCCCACAGTCAGCACCTGGCCTGGTTTTCACAGCTGATAATTGAGCTTCTCCAGCAAGTCTTTCCACAAATGTAATCTATTTGATACCTATGCATACCATCAGGTGATATGCATGTGTATAACCTGTGTTTGTGTTTCTTATAAAAGGTATTTGCAATGAATGAACTATGGAATGTGCAGAATTCTATCATTGTCTCTCCAGCCTCATTTCTCTCACCAAGTCCATGTTTTCCAGCTAATGATCCTTCTTCCTTGGAACTTTTGTGTTCCAGTCATGCATTATTATCAATGCATCTTAATTGCATGTTTGATCAATTTCTGGTTGCAAAAGTTGGTAGAAATTTCCCATTCCCTCCACTTTGGCCTAGTGGCCAGAAGCTGCACAGCAATCCCAAAGACATTCGGTTCAAATTCACCAGATACTCCGCTGGAGGAGGAGGGGCAATCTCCTCCTGTACCAGTCAGATGTGATTTGACGGTAGGCACCCTTGAGATTAAGTGCCTTGAAAACTCTCTAGAAAGTCCCTATGGGTCAGTTCCAACTCATGGTACACAACAACAACATGCTGTATTATGACTTTAAAACTGCCTGTTTCCCTAAAGGAGGATGCTTCCTACATTAGTGCAAAGATTTCTATTGTATTATTCATTGAGTTTTTCTAACACTTTTGATGTTATTTAATATATTTGCATCCAAAATAAATACTAGGTTGAATGAATTAGAATTTGTTTTCTTTATTCCTTTTAATTTTGCCACTTTATTTTACAATTCAACTTGCAACATCTTATTGTATAATTTTTATTCCTACCATTCTACTAAAACTGATGCTTTAGAAGTGGCCAGAGATTGCCTATTTATTATTTAATTCTATTTATTACTGAAAGAGGAATCTCTCTTAAATTCTTAGTTGCTTAGAAACTTTTTTGTTTACTTATTTGTTGGTCTGTTATTTGACTACTCTCTAAATTTTGCTTTGTATTTTAAAAATATTTCAATGTTTTTATTATATTACTAATAATTTTTTTTATTTCTTTATGAATTCCTTGGCCTGGTTTCTTTGCTTTTTAAAACTATGAACATTTTTTTTCCTTAGTGCCTAAAAAAGCCTAAAGGGAAAAAAAGCTTTGAAGCTTTAAAAAAAAAACACAAAAAACATTCTCACCTACAACCAGGAGAAGATAAAATAGATGAATGGACCTTCTAAGAATCAAATCCCTATGCACATCCAAAACCTTCTCCAAAAGGATAAAAAGGGGAGCCACAGACTGGGAAAAAGTATTTGGTAATGAGCTATCAGATAAGGGACTTATATCCAGAATTTATAAAATACTTAAGCACCACAACAAGATAAAGGTAAATAATTAAATACAAAAAATGGGCACAGGATGTGAACAGACACTTCACTGAAGAAGACATTCAGATGGCTAACAAGCACATGAAGAAATGTTCAAAATCCCTAGCTCTAAGAGAGATGCAAGTCAAAACAACTAGAGATATCATCTCACCCCAGTCAGAATAGCATAATTTAACAGAACAGCAAGTAACAAATGGTGGCGAGGTTGTGGAGAGACTGCAACCCTTCTTCACTGTTGGTGGGAATGTAAAATGGTGCAACCCCTGTGGAAAGCGGTATGGCGCTTTCTCAAAAAGTTGCAAATAGAGATACCATTTGACCCAGCAATTCCACTACTGGTAATACTGTCACCCAAGCAGGTATATATGCACACCCATGTTTATTGTGGCTTTGTTCACAATAGCAATGAGTTGGAAACAACCTAAGTGCCCATCAACAAACATATGGATAGAGAAGCTGTGGTATATTCACACAATGGAGTACTATGCTGCATTGAAAAACAAGGAACTCATGCAATATTATTCAAAATGGTTGACGTTGCAGAACATTATGCTGAGTGAAGTATCTCTGTCACAAAAGGACAAATACTACATGGTGCCACTGTTGTAGAACAGTACTGACATTGGGTTTGGAGGGAGACTGAGAAAGATGGGTTCAATAATGTATACTACACTGAAACAGATGAGGGAGAAAACTGTTTAAAAGGGATATGTGATTAGGTATTTTTGTCTTGACTGGAGTTCAGAGCAAAGGCTGCATAGTGGAGTGGACCTGAGGGGAGGGATTTTAAAACAATGAAAGAATTTTTCTTTTACTTTTCCAAGAGGGTAGTGTACTAGAAGGGAGGGTTGGGAAGGGAGAAAAGTGCAACAGTGAATGAATGGAAATCCAAAGTCTCTGTAAATTTTCACTGAAATTAATAATAAATTTTTAAAAAAGGGGATAAAAACAAAAAAATTCCCTACTATGAGTTTATCCATTGTCTTGTAATCTCTTCTACATTTTTATGTTTACATTCTGTTTTCTCCTCTCAGAGCTTTAATTACTGACATATTTGGACATTTCTAGTATTAAAAATATCCACTTAGAAGAAATTTACACAAACTGACATAATTTAGTTGCATATTGTTTACTTGTAGTCATTATTTTTAAATTTAGAATTTTCTCTATAAATTTCTGATTTTTTGCACCTTTTCATTATGTTTAGATTATCTTAGGTGGGTGAAGGTAGTGGCAGAGGGATGAGGATGGGTGTGTAGGGTAATCATAGGGACCCACAGTTTGATGGGTGGAGGGTGGGGTAGGTAAAGGATATGAGAAAGATGCAGTGTGAAAAACAATGTACAATGTAGATAAACTTTGTAAATAAACCAGTATAAAATGAAAAACAAAATAAAAAGTGCGACCAGACTCTATATGCTACAATACAAATTACAGAACCTACAAAAAAATCTCCAATTTTCACATGACTCTCCATTATTAAGTTGATAGAGACTTATAGGGACCCTCCATCAAGTTTCCAAGGCTGTAACTTGCAATGGGAGAAAACCTCCCATCTTCTAAGAAACCACACACTGGTGGGTTAGTAGGAGAACTTATTACAGACTGTGCCACCAGTGGGGTTTCTTAATTTCAAAATAAGATCTTGTCTTTTTGACATAGAAGCAAAATTTTCCTGAGTTGAGCAGTTGTACACATAAAAAGTTCCTGCAAAAATTCCATTTTTTTACATTTTCCTAAGTTATTTTTTATAGTCACCTACCAAATATTTGTGAAGGGGAATAGTAGTATTTTGGAAGAAATTCCTTAAATTAACAAAATTTTTTCTATGTAATTGTAATGCCATGAAAACACTCAGTAGTTCTTTGACAGATAAAATAACTTGAATTCATCATTATTGTTTAATTTCCAAATAAAAAATGAAGTCATGATGTCAGAGTATTTATTTATAAAAATGACCGAACATTCTGCATTTGCTGAGTTTATTTTGTGTTAATAAAAGAGTTTGCTTTGTGACTGTATTTCTGAAAACACCTTTCTTTTTTTCATTATCCTTAGCTATACTATAATTGTTCCTGCATTACCAAAGGATTATCAATTCAAAATAATGAAGATTCTTTTAATGATGCTGTCCTTGGGAATTGTGAGGCAAAGTGTTATCAGTTACCTTTGTTTATTTCTTTTCTCTTTTCCGTAATTGTATTTTCTGCTTTATCTATTGTACCCAGCATCGTAACCCTTCTCCGGTACGTATATATTTTTCATAATTTTTTAAATTTAATATATGGACTGCTAAGAAAACAAACAGATTCATCCTGGAGAGGGTTAAACCGGGCTGCTCCTTTGAGGCAAGGATTCTGAGGCTCCGTCTGACATCCTTTGGTCATGTTGTAAGGAGAGACTGGTCCTTGGAGAATGACATCATACTTGGGAGGGTGGAGGGCGGGCGCAAGAGGGGAAAGCCCTCTGGGAGATGGATTGATTCAGTGACTGGGGCAATCGGGATGTGTGTCGGAGACAATGAGATTGGCACAGGACAGAGCAGAGTTTAGGGCTGTTGTACATAGGGTCGCTATGAGTCGCAAGTGACTCAACGGCACATAACAACAGCAGTACTAGAAGAATTTAATTCTAAAGACATTTTTAAATATTATATTATTTTTCTCTACCTTTCATGGTAACAGATACTCTGTGGAGTAAATTATGACCTTGTCACTATACATGAAATATTAAATTTTCTCTTTTAATTTATATGTATAAAATATATAGATTACAAATTTAGTTGAAATTTAATTTAAAACAAAATCATCTATTTATCTTACCATGCCTTGAAAACTCAGAAATAAATGCATATTCTAATAATGATACATGATTTAAATAAAAACTTAAAAGCATAAATCAACATTAATTATTGGCTCATATGTAAGACAATTTTATTACAAGTAACACTAACTGCCACTGACAGAGGTATATAATATGCTGTTTGTTGTTAGGTACCATTGAATTGACTACAACATAAGTTGTTGTATACCGTTGAGTTGAAATTAACCCATAACGCACCCTCCAGTTAATCACACAGGGGGAGATTGCCCATCTTTCTGTCGCCACAACTTATAGGGAACATATGAAAAACTAATCTGCACCTTGCTGTGTCCTAAACCAACTCATGCTCTCTGTTGTGGTCAAGGCCATTATGGTAGTCACTGTGTCAAATTATCATGCCAAGAATCTTTCTCTTTTTATCACTGATCATCTATTTTTCCCTAGAATGATGTATTTTTCCAAGGAAAAATAACAATAATGCCTCCTGGCAATATGCCAAAATAATGTGGAGTGAATTTTCAGTATACCTGGTTACACTTTTTCGGAAACAGACTTGTTTGTTCTTTTGTGAGTTCATGGAATGTTGAGTACTCGCCTTCAAGAGCATAATTCAAAAGGATTTGTTCTTTATTGGTCTTCTTTATTCTTGCTCAGTTTTTCATGTTTAATAGTAAGTAATTGGACAAGACTATGGCTTGGATCGACTACACCTAACTCTTTAAACTTATATCCTTAATTTTGAGCACTTTGCCAAGGTCCTTAACAACAGATTTCCCCAATGCAAAACATCTTTTGAGTTCTTGACTGGATCCAAGTGAAAGTAAATCATTGATAATCTGAATCTTTTCTCCATCCACCATGATGTTGTGGGTTGATCCATATAGTATATCTTTTTGACTGATATGCTTCTCAAATTGAATAAAGAAAGGATACAACCCTGACACATACCTTTTTTAAAATTTCAGTTCTGTAGTGTTTTCTTGTTCTCTTTCTATAATGATTTAATTTTTTTAATGAATTTTTATTTTATACTGGTTTACTTAAAAAGTATGTATACTTTATTTTTACCCTGGATCCTTCTCATTTCCTTTACCCAACCCCTCCTTCTAGCCATCAGATTGTGCAACCCTATGATTAGGCCCCTTTCCATCCTCACTCTTCTGTTCCTACCCACCCTTCTTTGGATTGTCATGCACATTTTACTAGTTATCTTTCTGCTACTACAATAATGGTCATACTTTTTACATATATGACCTTAAGGGACTGAGTTAGTTCACTTAGGATAATGTTCTCCAATCCTTCCCAACTTAGGTGGTGATTTTAAAAAGTCATTGCTCTTGCGTGCTGCATAGTATCCCATTGTATGAATGTGCTATAATTTCTCAACCCATTCAATTTTAATTTGACTGTATCCATGTTCTGGAGTTGGTTAATCATACTGCTATAATCAGTGGTGTACAACTCTCTGTTTATGCCTCAGTTCTCATTTTCTCAGGGTATATTCCAAGCAGCAGAATAGATAGGTCAAATGGAGTTTCGGTGTTGTTTTTTTTCTTCTTTTTTTAAATGAACTTTAATGAACATTTACAGAGATTTTGGATTTCCATTCATTCATTGTTGCACTTTTCTCCCTACCACTCCTCCCTCCCAGTTCGATCTTCTCTTTAAAAAGTAAAAGAAAAGTTCCTTCGTTGGTATACAGTCCTGCTGACCCAAGTACACTCCACTGTGCAACCTTCATTCTGGACTCTTTTGATAACCATAATACCCTATCCTATATAGCTTTTTAAATGGTCTCTCCCTCATCTATTTCAATGCAGTATACATAATTTATCCAGTTTTTCTCTGTCTTACCCCAACCCTGATGCCTGTCCCATTCTACAACAGTGGCACTATGCAGTATTTGTCTTTTTGTGACTGAGATATTTCAGTTAGCATAATGTCCTCCAGAGTTACCCATCTTGAATAATATTGCATGAGTTCTTGTTTTTCAATGCAGCATAGTATTCCATTGTGTGAATATACCACAGCTTCTCTATCCATTTGTTTATCGATGGGCACTTAGGCTATTTCCAACTCCTTGCTATTGTGAACAAAGCTGTGATAAACATGGGTGTGCATTTATCTGCTTGGATATCAGTTATGGTCTCTTTGGGGTATATTCCCAGTAGTGGAATTGCTAGATCAAATGCTATCTCTATTTGCAACTTTTTGAGAAAACGCCACACCTCTTTCCACAGTGTTCTGCTTTGGGAGGAAACTCCAAATTGCCTTCCAGAATGGTTGCACCATTTTACAATCCCAACAATGTATGAGAGTTTCTACCTCTCTACATCCCCTCTAACATTTATTGGTTGCTGCCCTACTAAACTTGGGCACTGCTACTGGGGTGAGATGGTATCTCATTGTGGTTTTAATTTGCATCTCTCTTATTACCAGTTATTTTGAGTACTTCTTCATGTGTCTGTTGGCCATCTGAATATCTTCCACTGCAAAAAGTCTTTCCATGTCTTTTGCCCATTTTATAATTGCGTTATCTGTCTTTTTCTGGTAGAGTCCATGTAGAAGTCTACAAACTTTTGATATGAAACCCTTGTCTGAAATAGTATCAAATGTTCCCCCCTTCCCAGTCTGTAGGTTTTATTTTCACTCTGTTAAAAAAATTTTTTTATGCATACAGGGATTTAATCTTTTGGTCTCATTTATCAATTTTTCCCTTTTCAGATTGTGCATTTCTGGCTGTATTTGGCTGTCTCTTTATACCTTAGACTCCAGGCTGCTCCTTGGAGGCAAGGATTCTGGGGCTCCGTCTGACATACTTTGGACATGTTGTAAGGAGAGACAGGTCTTTAGAGAGGGACATCATGCTGGGTAGAGTAGAGGGACAGCGCAGGAGGGGAAGACCCTCTATGAGGTGGATTGATTCAGTGACTGGGGTACTCGGGATGGGTGTGTCAGAGGCAATGAGATTGGCACAGGATAGAGCACAGTTTAGGGCTGTTGTACATAGGGTTGCTATGAGTCACAAACAACTCGACGGCACATAACAACAAAAACAACAACAACAACAATGATGTTTATGGTTTGGGCTTTAACCTTAGGTCTCTGATCCACCATGAGTTGATTTTTGTGTGTGGTGTGAGGTGTGTATCCTATTTCAACTTTCTGCGGGTAGCAGTCCCGTTTTATCACCATTTGTAGAAGAGGTTGTCATTTCTCCATTGTATAGATTTTATTTCCTTGTCAAATATTAGTTGACTATAGATAGAGAGTCCATTTCTGGGTTCTCGACTCTATTCCATTGGTCTATGTCCCTGTCATTGTACCAGTACCATGCAGTTTTGGTTACTACCACTGTGTAGTAGGTTTTGAGAACAAGGAGTGCTATGCCTCCCACTTAATATTTGTTTTTCAGAAGTGCTTTGATTATTTTAGATCTCTTTCCTCTCCAAGCAAACTTGACAATTTCTCTTTCCATCTACTTGAAAACTGAATTTGATATCTGTATTGGAATTGTGTTGAACATGTAGATTGCTTTTGGTAGGATTGTGATTTTCACAATATTGAGTCTTTCTATCCATGAACAGGGAACATTTTTCCATTTATTTAGTTCTTTTGTTGTGTCTTGCAGTATGGTTTGTTTTGTTTTTGTTTTTTTTTTAAATTTTCTTTGTATATTTATTTTGTGTCTCCAGTTAGGTTACTTTCCAAGTGTTTCACTTTATGGTTAACTATTGTAGATGGTCAGGGAGCTCTGGTGCCCTACTGGCAAGAAGCTGCATTGCAATCACAAAGGGACGTGGTTCGAGGCCACCAGCAGCTCCATGGGAGAAGGATGAGCAGTCTCCTCCTTTATGATTAACTGCCTCTGAATACGGGATGGAGGTTCAGCTATGAATGGGTTCCGACTCTATGGTACACAACAACAGCAACATTCTAAATTGTATTGTTTTCTTGTTTGCTTCTCTGAGTTCTCTTTGTTACTGCAGAAGAATCCCACTGACTTTAATATTGATCTTACATCTTGCCACTCTACCAAACAGGTCTATAAGCTCTAACAATATTTTTTTTCTTGAGTCTGAGGTTTTCTGTGCACACTATCATATCATAGACATTTAGCAATAGTATAACCATCACTCTTGGCTTCAAAGAGAAAGAATTATGAAGTGTACCCTCACATACTTTGGGCATGTTGCTAGGAGGTTCTGTTCCTTGGAGAGGAACATAATGCTTGGAAGGGTGGAGGGTCAACAAAGGAGAGGAAGACCCTCAAGCAGGTGGATTAACATGATGACTGCTGCAGTGGGCTCTTGTGTGTCAGGAAACTTGAGGATGGTATAGGATAGAAGAGGGTCCAGATCTTTTGTTCATAGGGTTGCTAAGAGCCATACTCAACTCAACGGCACCTAACAGCAATAACAACAGCAACAATATCTCTTTGCCAATCAAGATGCCTTTTATTTCCTTCTCTTGTCCTATTACCCTATCAAGAACTTCCAATGCTATATTACTATATTGAATAGAAGTGGTGACAATGGGCATCCTTTTTTGGTCCCTGTTTACAAGAAAAATACTTACAGCCTTTAGCCATTGAGAATGATATTGGCTCTTAGTTTAGCAAAAACACTTTTCACTATGTTGAGGAAATTCCCTTCTATTTCTATTTTGCTGAATATCCTTTATCATAAAGAGATGTTGTGTTTTGTCAAATGTTTTTTTATGCATCAATTGTTAAGATCATATGTTGTTGGTAAGTGCCATTGAGTCATAGGCGACTCATAGCAGCTCTATGAATGAAAGACCTGGACACTTGTATAGCTTTCATCCTTTCTCCGGGTTCATAGCGTTTCCAGAGGCAAGCTATTTCAGAAGTGGATGCCACTCCTGCTTCCAAGCTTGTTTTAATCAGGGAGTTACACCAAACACTGTCCACCATGGGTAACCATTCTCACATTTGGTACATCAGTGTCACAGTGTTCAGCTTTACAATGACCATGAGTTTCCTCTCTGTAAAGCAAGTGGACAGGCCAGGGCTATGCCACCTAGAAGACTGTGTCACCAAAAACAGTTAAAGACAGGCCTGAGGGCCATAGATTAGACGCACCCATCTATGGTTTGGTAACATCACTTTCTGCCTGCTAGACTACCTGACCTCTCTCTATGCTGCTGTTGTTGTTAAGTGCCATCAAGTCATAGGTGACTCATAGCAACCCTATGAACAAAAGACCTGGAAACTTATATAATATCATATAGTTCTTTTTATTTCCTTTGTTAATGTGGTGAATTTTTTTAATGTGACTTATTTCTAGTTTTATGGCATTGTGATTTGAGAAGATACTTTGTATTATTTCAGTGTTTATTATTTTTCTTATGTTGAACCATCTTCGTATATCTGTTATGAACTCCACTTGATAATGATGAATTATGTTTTTTATGTGATTTTTTATTCTATTGGCTAGGATTTTATGAAGGATTTCCACATCTATATTCATGAGAGATAGTGGTTTGCCATTTTCTTGCTTGGTAATATCTTTGCCTGATTTTGGTATTAGGTTTATGCTTGCTTCATTGAAACACTCTGGGAATGTTCCTTCCTTTTCAATTTTTTTTACATAATTAAGTAGTATTGGTGCTAAATCCTCTCTGAATATTTGGTAGAATTCGGCTGTCAAGCCATCTGCTCTAGGACTTTTCTTATGGGGAAGTCTATTTATGACCTGTTCAATTTCTTCTTTTGTGATGGGTCTGTTTACATGTTCTTGACTTCTGTCTCTGTCAATCTGGGTAAACCATGAGTTTCAAAGAACTTGTCCATTTCCTCTAGTTTTTTTAATGTATCAGAGTATAGCTTTTTAGAGTATTCTGATATTATTGATTTGATTTCATCTGTTTCTATTGTAATTTCCTCTCTCTCATTTCTCAATCAAATTATGTGTCTTCTGATATTTTTTATTAAATTTGCCAGTGGTTTTTCAGTTTTATTGGCCCTTTAAAAAAGTCCTGTTCTTATTGATGGTTTCAGTTGTTTTCCTGTTTTCTATCTCATTGATTTCAGCTCTTCTCCTTATAATTTCCTTTCTTCTAGAGGCTGTACGATTAGATTGTTGGTCTTTTTCCATTTGATGAAGGTGTTGAGTTATACAATGGTTTTTCTTCTTTCTTCATTTTTTATGTATGTGCCTATTGCTGTGAACTGCCCCATGAGGACTGCCTTATCTGTATCCCAGAAGTTTTGCTATGTTGTATTTTCATTTTTATTTGTTTCAAGGATTTTTTTTTAATTTCATGGTTTATTTCTTTTATAACTCTATCATGTTCTAGCAGAGAGTTATTTAGCTTCACATGGGTGATTTTGTAAGCTTATCATCCTGTGATTTCTTTCTAGTTTTATGGCTTTGTGGTCTGAGAGGATACTTTGGATCATTTCACTGTTCTTTAATTTGTTGAGGCTTATTTTGTCCCTTAATATGTGATTGATTCTGAAGAATGTACCATGGGCACTTGAGAAGATAGTTAATTGAGTTTTAGTTGGGTGCAGTACCTTGAATACATCCACAAGGTCTAGTTGGCTGATTCTTTAGTTTAGATCTGCATCTTTGTTAAGTTGACCATTCTTTGCTGAGAGTGGTGTGTTAAGTCTCTTGCCACTATTGTGGTGCTGTCTATTTCTTTCTTCCATTCTCTTAATGTATTTATTTTGCAGTTCAATCATTTGGTGTATAAATATTGACCAAGGTTAAGTCTTTTTGATCTGTTGTTCCTTTAATCAGTGTGCAATATCCTTCCTTATATTTTATGGAGGTTTACATTCTGAAGTCTGTTTTATTAGAGATTAGTTTTGCTACTTCTGATTTTCTGTGATTGCCATTTTCTCGTTATATTTTTTTCCACACTTTGACTTTGAGTCTGCTTTCCTCTCTAGTTTTTAGATGTGTTTTTTGTAGGCAACATATTGATGAGCTTTGGGCTTTATTTGTTTTTCCTTTCTGCTACTCTTTTAATTGGGGCATTTAGTCCATTCACATTAAGTGTGATTATTGTCAGGCCAGGTTTTACCATTGCCATTTTGCTGTGTTTCTTTTTCTGTTGTTTCTTGTTACTATGGTCCATCCACTTTGCTTTGGCCTCTCCATGTGAAATACTTCACTTAAAGTTTCTTCTAGTGTTGTTCTTGTTTTCACAAATTCCTTAAGTTCCTTCTTTACTGAAAATGATCTAATTTCTCCTTCTTATTTGATGGAGATCTTTGCTGAATACAGGATCCTTGGCTGGCAATTGTTTACTTTCAACTCTCTGTATATGCCATCTCATTGTCTTCTAGCTCTCATGGTTTCTGCTGAGTAATCAGAACTTAATCTAATTGTTTTCCCTTTGTAGGTGACTTTTTGTTTTTCTTGTGTTTTTAATATTCTGTCCTTATCTTTTATATTGGAGAAATTGACTATGATAAGTTTGATATTTTTTTTGAGGGGGTGTCTAGTCTATTTAGTGTTCACTGTGCTTCTTGAATGTGAATTTCCCAAAATAATTGTGAAGTTTTCTTCTGGTATCTCTTTCACAATTTTTATCCATGACTTCCCTGTCACTCCCATGTTCTGGAATTCCAATCATAATATATGTCATCACACATGATTCTAATCTTTTCTTCATTTTCTTTATGTCTCATCTCTGATTTTTCTTCTAATATGTTTTCAAATGAGGCTTTTGTTATCCAGCTCACTGACTCTATGTTCTACCACTTCAGTTCTAATTTCTGTCCTACCAGTGTGTTGAACACTTCTGCCATTTCAGTCTTAGTATTTTGGTTGCATTTTTATGCTTTTCTGTTACTTCCAGTACTCTATTGGCTGTACCCTCTCTGTCTAGTGATGATCTTTTTAAGTTTTTGTACTGCTTTATCTTCCATCTTTAAAATTTTCTTCCATAGCTGTTAAAGTTGTTCCTCATCAGTACATTACTTCTGAATCACTTTTTCTGGGGTATTTGCTCTCTTTATGTCTTCCACTATTTCTTCCATCATTTGTATCTTCTTCTGTAGCTGTTCAAAAAAACGCACACTGGAACTGCAGCCCCTTGACCTGCAGGCTGGGATGTGAGTTTGCACTCTTTAGCAGACACAGGGGAAGTGGTGGCTGGAAGAAGCTCATGGTGCCTGATTACACCACACAGGCCTTGCTTGGTGTCTTGCAGTGGAGCTATGGTAAAATCCACAATGAGCATGACTCGACACTGTGTAACTATTTCTTCCCAGGGAATAACTATCAGTAAGCCAAAAGTATTTGAATTGAAGCTTGACCATATTTTACTTCTGAGGAGCACTCTGGCTTCACTTTTTGTAAGAGATATCTGTTTTTGGCACTCTATGAGATATTCAGTACTCTTCTCTAACACTGCAGTTCAAAGATGCCAATTCTTCTCTTTCTTATGTATTGTCCAGCTCTCAGAGGCATAGCAAGTTACTGAATAGACCATGGCCTGAATAAGATATATCTTAGTCTCAAACTGACACCACTGTTCACTCAGCATTTTGGAAAGACCCCTTACAGTGACTTGCCAAATGCAATATATCCCCTGAAGAACCATATTTAAATTTTCTTCTAAATTTACTAATGAAATAATCTTTCCCTTTGTGAAGCCTAAAAATTCTGATATATGTTCCACACTCATAAGCTAATGCCTCTAGTTCAAGGAAATCTATCTCATTTATATAGGAATAAACAAAAAAAAATATATACTGTGCATAAACAAAATTGTTATAATGAAAGAAATTGAAATTATCCTTATTATCTTACTATTGTCTTAGTTATCTAACACTTAGTAGTAGTAGTTGTAGTAGTAGTAGTTGTTGTTGTTGTTAGGTCTCGTTGAGTTGAACATGACTCCTAGTGACCCTATTAATAAAGATGTGAAACATGTTCTATACCATGCCATCCTCACACTTCCTGACACATGAGACCCCATTGCAGCAGTGGCCTTGTCAATCCACCTGGTTGAGAGTCTTCTTCTCCTTCACTGACCTTCCACCCATCTCAACATCATGTACTTCTCCAAGGAATAACACCTCCTAGCAACATATCAAAAGTATGTGAGGCAAAGCCTCATCATTAATTCTTGCCTCCAAAGAAGACTCTGGATGCACTCTCTATAAGACATATATATGTTCCTTTTCTTGGCCATCTGTAGGATGTTAAATATTCTTCTCCAACACCATAGCTCAAAGGGGTCAATTTTTTTTTTTGTCACCCTTATTCATTGTCCAGCTCTCAGATGCATAGCAAGTAACTGGAAAGACCATGGCCTGAATTAGATGCACATTAGTCCTCAAACTGATATCACTACTCTGCATTAATTTGGAAAGGTCCCAAACTACAGATTTTCCCAGTGCAGTGCATCTCCTTATTTCCTGACTGCTCATACCAAGGGTGTTAGTTTTGGATCCAAGCAACATGAAGCTGTTGACAGTCTCAATCCTCTTTCCATCCATCATGACGCTGTCTACCGGTCCACTGGTAAGAATCTACGTTTTCCTGAAATTGAGATGAAATTCATAGGGAAGACTGCATTCCTTCATCTTCTGCAACAAGCACTTAGGCCCTCCTCACTTTCAGAAAGCAAGGCTGTGTTATCTGCATAACACAGCTTATTGATGAGTTTCCCTACAAATCTTGATGCCAAACTCCTCCTTATAAAGTCCAGATTCTTGGGTAATTTGCTCAGCATACTGAATGAATAGGTATGAAAAAAATGATTCAATCATGACACACTCCCTTTCCAATTCCATACCATGTAGTGCTCCCTGCTCTGTTCCTGCAACAACCTCATGATCCAGGTATAGGTTCCACCTGAGCACAATCAAGTGCTCTGGGATTCCCATTCTTTTATTGTCAGCCACAACTTGTCATGACCCACACAATCAAATGCCTTTCAATAGTCAATAAAGCACAAATAAACACTCTTCCGGTATTTCTTACTTTCAGACAGGATCCATCTAACATCAGCAGTGACATCCCTGGTGCTAAGACCTCTTCTAAATCCTCTTTGAACTTCTGGCAGTCCTTATCTATATACTCTTCCAGTTGTTTTGAATGATCTTCAGCAGTATTTTGCTTGCATTTTATATCAATGATATTGGTGAATAATATCTACATTCAGTTGGATCATTTTTTGTTAGTAATGGGAAATTTCCACATTCAGTTAAATATTTTTTCTTGGAAATGGAAACAAATATGGACCTCTTCCAATCCATTGGCAAGACAGCCATCCTCCATATTTCCTGGCATACACTGGTTGGTGCATCCAAGGCTGTATCTGTTAATTGAAACAGGTCAATTGGTATCTCATCCATGGTAAAGAGCTGATTAACTGTCTGATTTCATTTACAATCAGTTGTGGGTGGGAGCTTATTAACTGTATCTATCTGTCATCGTACCAAATATAATTGACTGACATAAAAGAATTTCAAGAAACAACATATGATCAGGAGGCAATGGTGATGAAGGGGGAAGTAAGTACAGGATTCTCTGAAGGACTTGGGAAAAAAATAGAGCCCTGGGAATTGATGGAATACCAATTGACATTTTTAAGCAAACAGATGCTGCCCTGCATGTGCTCACCAACTTGTGCAAAGAAACCTGGAGGACAACTACTTGGCCAACTGGCTGGAAGAGATCCATATTTATTCCCTTAATAAACAAACAAACAAAAAACGGTGACCCAACAGAGTGTGGATATTGTCAAACAATATTACTAATATCACACACTTGCAAAATCCTTCTGAAGGTTATCCAGAAACTACTGGAACCATACATTGACAGAGAACTACCAGAAATACAAGCTGGGTTTGGGAGAGGTCATGGCACTAGAGACATTATTGCCATTATCAGATGGCTCTTGGCAGAAAGCAGACAGTACCAGAAGAATGTCTATCTGTGTTTCATTGACTATGCAAAGGCATTTGACTGTGTGGATCACAACAAACTGGCTAATCTTGACGAAAATGGGAATCCCAAAACATGTACTTGTGCTTATGAGGAACTTAGACCAAAAAGCAGTCCTCAGAACAGAGCAAGGAAACACTGCATGGTTCAAAATCAGGAAAGGAATGTGTCAGGATACTTCTGCCTCCATACCCTTTCAATCTGTATGCAAAAACAGATTGTTTGGGAAGCAGGGCTTTGTGAGGAGGAGTGTGGCTTGAAGACTGGAGAAGGACTCATCAACAACCTACAGTATGCAGATTACACGACTTTGCTGAAACTGAAGAAGACCTGAAGTATTTGCTGCAAAAGGTCAAGGACTGTAGTCTTCAATATGGATTGAAGCTTAACATCAAGAAGACAAAGATCCTGACCACTGGGCCAATTAGTAGCACAATGATAGATGGAGAATAGATTGAGGTTGTTAGCAATTAATTTTCTCAGATCCACAATCAACACTCTTAACACCGGCAGTCAGAAAATCAAAAGACAAATTGCATTGGGAAAATCTGCTGTCATTGACTTCTCCAGTGTGCTGAAGAGCAATCATGTCAGTCTAGAGACTAAGGTGCACCTAATCTAGGCCATGGCCTTCTCAATTACTTGTTATTTTTCAGAGAGTTGGACAATGACAAAGGATGACAGAAGAGTAGATTTCTTCAGGTTGTGGTGTTGGAGAAGAGTCTTTAACATACCATGGACTGCCAAGAAAACAAATTGGTCTGTCTTGGAGAGGATGAAAGCAAGTCTCTCCTTAGAGGCTAAGATTTTGAAGCTCCACGTCACATACTTTAGGCACATGGCTAACCAGGAAAAACCAGTCTTGGAGAAGGACATCATGCTCAGAAGGGTGGAGGGACAGTGAGGAGGGAGACCACAGATGAGATGAAAACTTGGTGCCATTGGGGTGCCAAAAGCCATAACAGTTACCCATGGTGGACAGTGTTTGTTTGGTGGAACTCCCAGTTTAAAACAGGTTTGGAAGCAGGAGTGGCATCCACTTCTTATACAACATGTCTCAGGAAACTCTATGAACTTTGATAAATGTTGATAGTTATAGAACGTTTTCCAGCCTTTTGTTCATAGTGTCCCTATGAGTCATGCTCGACTCAATGGCAACAATATTGTATTTGTATGATCCAGGAAGTATCAAAAAAAGATAGAAGGAATATTCTGAATCACTGTACCAAAGAATTGATTGACAATGGAAAAACTCATGAAGTACCATATAAATAAGAGGCTATGTTAATGAAGGAAATAAGTTCAAGGTACACTGAAGGCATTGCAAAAAATAGAACGCCAGGAATTGATTGAATACTCATTGAAATGTTTCAGATAACAGATGCAGCCTATTAAAAGAGCAAGGGCCACACGAAGATGACCATATCTGATGTTTACCAACTTTATAAAGGGGTAATGTCCCTGTTGACAGAATCAATAACACAAAACCAATTTTCATGAGGTAAGACAAGTGCCCCATGCTTCCATACCTCTTTCTACTCATTTCAACACCAATCATACTGTTTTTCTGGGTCTAAAATCTTATTGTGATAACTCACAGACAACACAGAAACATGTTGAGGAGGACAAAAGGTTATAGTCCAGATTCATAGCAAGTCTACCAAATGGATGAGAAGATAGAGATAGGATATTAAAATTTAATAAGTAATTTAGTGAAGGTAAAAATAGTATGCAATGGGGGATGGATTAGATAGTATTATTGTGATATTGTTTGTTGTTATTATGTGCCATAGAGTCTCCTATGACACATAGTGACCCTATGGACAGGAGCTCTGAACACTGCCCTCTCCCTAAACCAGTCTCACTGACTCAGACACACCATTCCCATTGCCCTGTAAAGTTACTGTATTAATCTATGTCATCTGGGATCTTCCTTTTTTGCACTGTCCCTCCACCATGCCAAGCATGATGTCCTAGTCTTCTAGCTACCTGCCTAAATTATGTAAGACAGAGCTTCAAAAATTTAGCCTCCCGGTAGAAACTTGCTTTCATCTTCTCCAGGACAGACATATTTGTTTTATTGGTGGTCCATGGTATGTATGTTCAAGACTCTTTGTTGTTGTTGTTGTTATGTGCCGTCGAGTCGCCTGCGACTCATA